ACTTCCACTGAAATCTCTGCAAAACCAAAGTATCAAATGTATATTCAAATAACCTTTTTAAAATATTTTACTTTTTTGATACTTCTCATCTGCTGAAATATAGCAGAAACCGTTTTTCGATGACCTTTTGAAATTTGATGAATGTACAACGAACAAAAGTAATCTTGGACAACTTTACAACTTGAATAAGTGAAAGCAATACAGACTAGCCCCCAAACTTACTGATTCCCATTCATTTTCAACTAATTTTCAAAGGATGAAGGTTAAATTAGCCAGTTAAGTTTTCAGCCATTCGGTAGCTACAGCGATGAATACTTATGCCAGTTTCGATCAGATACCATCAGCACCAATAGGGATGGCTACATTCATTGAAAAAAATGGATAAAGTGTTTGATATTTTCAATTCAAATCGATTTGACGATGTCAAACATTTCAATAAACCTTTTTTCGGAACATCAAAATAAAATGATTTTCTGAAAGAAATGTAAATATTTATCAGCAAATTAACTGTAATACCAAAGAAAAATAGTTTAATTCCTCCGATAACAGTAATATCAAAAAAAAAGAAAAAAAACACGACTGGACAAATGAGAATCATTGAGGGGTGGCAAATAACAATTTTGGCATTTCTGCAACTTTGAGAAAACCTATATAGTCAAGGATACTCCTACATATTGACGAGGAATATAAATTAGGACAGTGTGGAAAATTATTTTGGTCAACAGAGAAATACTTGTGGAAATGCCAGAAATCCAACTCCTGTTCAAATTACCAGAGCTTTCAAAAAACACATTTACTCTTTAGTATTTCACACAGGCACAAGGAACTAACTGTTTAGAAGATACTAGTGAGATTCTATCTAATATTATAGATGCTGACATAAATAGAGTGAAGATTCTTATGGAAATTCCAAAAAATCTCTATAAACCTATGTTTGTGGATATCTTTTGAGAAAATGTTTAGGAAAACATTCATGTAAAGTATGTACAAATTTTTCCACGCCGGCTAGTATCATACTGAATGAAACAAATGTATATAGTCATTTCAAGGCATACAGTGATACAGAAGCCAAAAAGCTTGGAAATATACATATGCCTCCAGATTCATTTTTACAAAGTATCATTCATCTAGAGACATAATTTCCTTGTCATTTTTATAATCTACGTATCACTGATTGCACAGGCAACCAGCTCAAAACAATGTTTTCAATTATCAACATTTCTCACGACCCTTGTGATAATTTTCCTTGGGATTATTTATTTTCCCTTTTCACTAGGGTATTAATTTATTATATTTTGAAATTTGCCAATAGAAATTTGAAAACAAATGTTAAAAAAATCAAAAACTCATCACTCTGGAAAACCTTTAGAATAGATTATCATGAGTTTTTGACCTAAATTGTATAATCTTACTTTACAAAATATATGTTCATTTCACCACCTTGTCTTATTTTTCATCAATTCGTAAACAGTTCACAATCATATAAGATATTTATTGTGAGCTCCTCGTAGCAATGATGAATTCAGATCATGGTCACATACTTTTTGATCGCACCTCGTGCAGAGGTACACGATAGCTCTCAGCCTACACCCTTCTACCCCGCAACATGCTAGCAAAAAATAAAATCTTGACCGGAAACATCAAAGACACAGACCGGGAGTGAATTTACTTGTGTTTATTGTTTATTGTTAGTCAGATGAATGCGCAACTTTGCCCCAATTTAACCATTTTCGTATCTCTCATGGTTTCCGAGATTCCAATGGTGAGGATCGAATTTGAAACACCCTGTATAGATGGAGCTGAAGAAGTTTTACTTCAGTCGTGTGGTCTAAAGCACACTCGCTGTGTGATGGAGAAGTAGAGAGCCAAAACGTTTCCTAAAAAATTATTCTCTCCTAGAAAATACCTACCCATTTCAATTTAATATACATACCTACCTACCTTTCTACATCACAACTTTATTTTATTTACTTGCCTATGTAGGTATATGATAATATGATAAGATCCGAATATAGTGACAAGTGGGCGTATGCCCAAACCCAAACTTTGACAGATTCTCCTTATATTGACGTGAGATACCTCTATGACTCAGTACCATCAAATTCAGTAACCATTTTAATCTACCATTTCGATATCATCTCAAACTAACAAAATCATGATGTGAGTGAAACAACGTCAACATTCATTGATTTACCATAACTTGAACAAGTTGAAACGATTCAAAAATCACAGCAGCGCGAACAATCCTTTCCCATTTACTTTTGATTGATTATCTCATCATTCCACGCCCATCCAACAGCTGATGCTCGTGCTTAGTGCGACACACTATATAAATATAGAGCTGACCCCTTATTAAGACTATATAGACGTGTTGCTATTGATTTAAAAGTGAAATACTATAAATAAAAACGATTTTTCATAAATATTGTGTAGTTGTTAGTTAGTTACTTATGATGCACTGTTTAGAACCTTTGGTGTAGTAATGCATATTACTGGAGTTTTTTCCCAACACCAAATCGTTATTTTTAACACCTCGACACGTGTTTATCAAGTGATCATCTTCAAAGAGGAAGATTAAAACTAAGAACTAGTGCGAGCCAATCCTATTTATGCTATAAAACAAATTGTTTTATATAAACATATATTGTAAAATAATAGATAAGGCAAAATTGCAAAATTAATTTAGGTTGGTATACTTGTATGGTTGGTACGCCTGGATGGTTTACCTGTATGGATTACCTTTATAGCATAGACGCACTTAGCTCGCACTAGTTCTTAG